AGAATAAATGAAAGTAAGAAAAACAAAACAAAAATATATATACCTTCTCTACAAACCATTATTTCTTATTATCTTTCTAATTATCGCCGCTAATCACCTATAACTAACACACAATGTCTCTCCAGTTACGCTCACTGTCCCTAATTACCATTAACATTAAATTTATGACTTAATGGTGAATATTTTACCTAACGAATTGCAAGGAAAATGAAAGAGAGAAAAGAAAAGAACTTAGACAATAGAGAAGTATAAAGAATGGAAAACAGGGAATTGAAAGAAAAGAAAAATATAAAAGGGAGGTAACATGAAACTAAATAAAGAAATAAATGAAAGAACATAGAATAAATGAAAGTAAGAAAAACAAAAAAAAAAATATATACCTTCTCTACAAACCATTATTTCTTATTATCTTTCTAATTATCGCTGCTAATCACCTATAACTAACACACAATGTCTCTCCAGTTACGCTCACTGTCCCTAATTACCATTAACATTAAATTTATGACTTAATGGTGAATATTTTACCTAACGAATTGCAAGGAAAATGAAAGAGAGAAAAGAAAAGAACTTAGACAATAGAGAAGTATAAAGAATGGAAAACAGGGAATTGAAAGAAAAGGAAAATATAAAAGGGAGGTAACATGAAACTAAATAAAGAAATAAATGAAAGAACATAGAATAAATGAAAGTAAGAAAAACAAAAAAAGTGAAAAAGGATGAAAGAACAGTGATAAAGAAAAGGACTAGAATGAAGGAAAAAGAAAACATGATAGAGACAGAAATTGAAAAGAGAAAACGAGAAACGAATGAAAGAAGACAGGAATGAGAGATGGAAAAAAAGTGACTGAAAGAGAGACAGCAGATAAGTAAAAAAAAAAAAAAAAATCAGGACTTTGCATAAACATAAATGAACAAATATCCGAAAAATAAGGAAACAAAATTAGGAAAAAAACAAAGGAAAGGAACAAAAAAAGAAAAGAAAACAAAAACAAATCGGATCATGAAAAAAAGGGGAAAAAATAAAATAATAATAATAATAAAACAGTCACAATTTTCTTTTAACTAATGACTCTATTTCCAGCATTGGTATCTGTTGAAGAATCCACAGGCTGGTATTAACCTTCTCAGGTATGTGGTGAGAATTCCACAAGCCTAGTGGTCACTCTTACATGTATGTGGATGCCATGTGGTGAAGATTCTGCGAGAATGATGTTCGTTCCTGCACGGTATGTGGTTTTATCTTCCATACCATGTGGCAAAGAATCTCTATCTATCGTCCATGTCTGCACGGTAGCCGATTTAATTACAACACAACATATGGCAAAATATCCTCAAGTGTGACGTTCATCCCTACATGATATGTGGATTCCTTTCCGGCATAGTATGTGGCGAAGTCTACAAGCCTGGCATTCCTTCCCATGTGGCATGTGGCGAAGGTCCTACATGCCTGGCGTTCATCCTTCCAAGGCTTCTCCCCGCGTCGAAGGAACCCCCACGCGGTCCCTTCTTGGCAACAGAGGCGAGAGACCCGCTCCCCCCCCCTTCCCTCCACCTAGAAGCGGAGATGCCCCCCCGTTCGTCTGCACCAGAAGAGGTAGATATCCCCCTCCTCTGAAAGGGAAGGGTGGATGTCCCTAGTCATCTACACCCGAAGAAGCAGATGTTCCCCCTTCCTCTATCTAGAAGGGAAGATACCCCCCCCCCCCACCACCACCTAGAAGGCCAGACACGCCCTCCTTCTCCCTAAAAAAAAACATAGAAGACGGGGTGCCTCATTACCTAGAAGGAATTGTGTTCTTCATCCCAAAAAGTTTAGGTGTAAGGAGTGTAGTGAAGAAGTAAGATGGAGAAGGGGGGTTGAGGACGCGAGAAGGGGGGTGGGGGCAAGCACGAGGGGGGAGGGGGAGGCCGGAAGGAGGGGTTAAGGGGGAGGGGAGATCTGATTTCCGTGGCGCCATCTGCCGGCTTCCATCTGCGCGAGGGTTTAGCTTAACCTTGGATTCTCAAAAGCCGGGTATCAAAGGCTAGATTCGTTGTGAATTTAGCAGCGGAAAACGACACTTTCTCGAAATAAATTTGCTCTGAAGATGGAGGGTAAAGTTTCCTTGGTGCGAGGCTTGATGCATCTATGGTTTCTTGCTTTTACTTCATTTATTCATTTCCTTTTTTTCTAAACTATCGTTATAGGAAGAACATGATTTTGGGCAAGATATTTTTTCTTCGTCCTGTCGCATACGAATGTTTCTTTCTTATCAAACGGAATTATGGGGAAGAAGTAAATGATCTCATACCCATTCAGTACTACAATTATATTACTTTAGACGAAACACTATAAAGCTCATCAAAACTATATCTATTTCCATTTACCATTAGATATGACCTATTATAAAACTTACATCACTTATCATCTATTTACGATTACTTGAAATTACCTCCAAAATATGAATGTCTGTTACCCTATCTGTACTTGTGCATGGGATCTGTGGTTTCTGTGCATGAGTTGTGTGCTCGCAAACAATACTCGTTCTGCATGAGATTCCTACCCCACCTGTGCATGAACTCTGCATGAAGCTACAGAATATAGAGCTGTACACGAGCTCTATATTCTGCAGATTACCAATGGTCTCATGTTAAGAATTTGCAGTCTTCTTTGCCACTAGGGAAGCTAGTTTAGTGCAGTTTTATATTCAACGTATAATTAATCAATCAATCAAGTTACACACATACACACACACACACACATGCACACACACGAGCAAGCACACGCACACGCACGCACGCACGCACACACACACACACACACACATGCATGCACACGCACACGCATACACACACACGCACACGCACACACACACACACACACACACACACACACACACACACATATACGAATCTATATCTCCCCATCTCCATTATCATCTCCCTCTGCAGTCCCCCGTACTCATTTTGGCGGCAAAAGAGTCTCCTTTTTGAAGGTACTTGAAAGCATGCACTCTCTCCTCACCCTAAATAAAAAGAATTAGCTACGTCCGTACCCCCTCTCTCAAAACTGGAATGTTCACTTCATAAAAAAAACACAGCAAAATAATTTCCAACTGAATTAGCAAGGAAAACAATGTGTTTAGGATGAATAACGGCACTTTGTGAAAAACACGCTTTCCATTAACAATACATTACTAACAACGTTCCCGTTCTATAAAATTCCGTCTACTAAAGAACAAAAAATGAATTACATTTCTGGGGACTATACATTCTTAAATTGTCCACATCCACGGAAATAAAATTCTTCACCTTTAAACACAATATCATAAAGGAAAAAAAAAGAAAGAACTTTTAAGTGAATATCAAATATCTCGTT